AAAATTATGGATTTGAGTATACATTCTGATTTTGACACATGTATGTATGTGAGTTTAGTTGTTTGTTTATTTCGCGTGTGCACTTTACAGTTTGCTAAAATAGTTAGAATTTGAACTTGATAAGCTTTGAACTTGATTTGATTTTTATTTGTTTTAGTAAGATATGCCATTTTGCTATGAATTTGAGTGATTTAAAGGAGATGGATGGGGGCAGTAGATTCGACATATCCCATGATGCTGAAGATTAGTTCTTTTTTTTGCTATAATGAAAAAGGTAAAGAGAAGCACATTTCAAGAATCTACTACACCGTGTCATTGGATTTGGTTTGACATTATGTCATTGTGTAACATTGTGACATTATATATGAGCATATGTGGCATTATATATGGACATCTATGGTATTATATATTGTCATATGTGACATTACATGGTGTCATGTTTGACATTATTATGTCTTTCTTTGACACTGTATTAACTGTTAATGTGACACTCTGACGACGATGGTGCAGATTGTGATGGTAGTGTTGTTGATAATGGTATAGAGTGGTGATGTCGTCAGTGGTGACAACAAAAAATCAAAGGCGTCAATGGTAAGTTTCGTTTTTAGCGGTGCGGCGGAGCAGAGGACGGCGGTGGCGGAGATTCAAGTGATAGTGGCAGGTATGTGGCGGCGACGATGGCGGCGGTGGGCATCACCGTTGACGGCGATTGCGGCAGTGTGTGTCGCTGTCAGTAGCATGTTGTTGTGAAATTGGCCGATTTTTTTTAGTTTTGAACTTGGCCACAACTAACACCATTCGCTGATGCGGATCTGGGAGGAATACGAAGAAGCTATTCTTTCATTCCTCTACCGATAGTAGAGCTACTTCATTCCTCTTGTTCAAATGCTTGACCTTGGCTTCGGTGCCAGCTAGGCAGCTAGGACTGGTCTTCACCCTTATTGATGGATGGGGTTCTTCCCTCATATTAGATGACATAGAGTCATAGATAATCGTTTATAAGTAGGTTTTGGCCTATTCAGAATGTTTTTTCCTCGAAAGGGGAATTAGCGAGTAATAGCATTATTCTAAAGAACTAAGATTCGAAAGGGAGAAAAACTGCAGCGTGGTGGGTATCCTGCTCCTTATTATAGTCGCATGCATCTTTTAAAAAAGGGTGTATGGGGAGTTTTTTTTGTTTTATTAATTATGTTAATTACTTCTATTTAGAGGAGTTTAAGTTTGAACTCCTATTTTGAAGATATGACATACTCCACTCCTATTTTGAAGATATGACATACTCCCTCCGTTCCTAAATAAACTTCCCCTTTCGTTTTTTCTTTGTCCCTAAATAAACTTCTCTTTTTCCTTAAAAAACTCATTTTATCCCTTACTTTTTCATACCCTACCTATCACATCATACCTTTTTACTAATAACCTATATATCACATCTTACTTTTACACATCACGTCAAGGGTATTTTTGGAAAGTCAACACAAAAATATCCCTCTCTTAAATCTCCAAAAAGTCAAAAGGGGAAGTTTATTTAGGGACGGAGGGAGTATGTTTTACTCCTAGTTTGTTCCTTCTCGTGTTTAGATGTTTATTAGGTAACGTGAGGTGGAAAAGAATAAAATTACTAAAATATCTTTATGGTTGTTTTTCTTTATTTGTTTAGGATGTATTTATATGACTACAAATCCACCTAGCCGGAATGCAATCGCCAAGGAAAGACTCATATTGAAAAAACAAACAGCTAAAAAAATTGAAAAACAAAACAATATATTTCAATAAATATTGAAAAACAGGTAAAAGAAAAGGCAAAAAAACATAAAAATGATATTAAAATACATAGCAAAAAACAGAAAAAGACAGCAAAAAAGAAAAGAAACAGCAAACCAAAAACCAATACAAAAAATAGCATATTTATATAAATAACAAAAAAACCAGCAATAAACCAAAAAACAGAAAATAATCAAACCATGCTACTTCAACAACATGAAAAAAAACATATAAAACAACTGGAAAAAACAAATAAAAATAAAAAACCACTACAACACAGAAAAAACGAAAAGAAAGCAAAAACAAGAAAACAAAAAAACAAAAAAAATAGAACAAACATACCAAAAAATCAGCGGCAGAAAAGAAATTAGAAAAAAGTTAAAATAAAAAATAAAACAGGGAAAAAAAGCAATTTACAATTCTTAGCAAAAAAATAATAAACCAAGAGTTGGAACTTGGAAGATGAAGGGAGAGGAAGAAGATGCGCCTGGGAAGGGATCTGCTATTGGATTTCCGGAGTGGCTAGCGAGCAGCGGCACTTCGAGAAAAAATTAGAAGGGCAGCAACGGAACGGAAATAATGACCGAGATGTTTCGCCAAATAGGCGGTAGAGAAATTTGTACTGTTAATAAGGTTACCTCCCTTTTCTTCCTCTGACCCACTTCAATTTTATCTCCCAAACAAGGTACGATGTAAATTTTACCTCACCCTACCTCCACTTAGCTCAAACCAAACATAGGTAGTCAAGGTATCCCTTGCCCCTAGAAAGAAAAAATTGATTACTCTTTGAGATCACTTAAATCTTTTGAGAAGTTTACGGCTAAAAAATGGATTCTCTCTTCTATTTAGGTATTCTTTCATACACAAATCATTTCCTTTTGGATCAATTCTCCAAAAGCTCAAATCGCTCACCCCGGGCGCCCCTCATCCCCGACCCGACGGGAATGTGAGAGGAGGTAAATCACGGTGACCCAAGCACAACACTTACCTAGACCATATCCTAGTGCGCACCAGAGACTCCCCCCATTTTTTAGAGGTGGTCGCCTCCACAACGTTCGCTGTCAGGTTTCGATCCTTGGTCATTCTCCAAACTTCACCAAGTGTTTGCCACTTGGGCTACCCGTGCGGGTTAAAACTGTGGTAGGGTAAACTTTTTATAGTGACTAGCCCCACCGCTTTCGCGGCCCCATACCCCAGAAACCCAACTTTGGCTTGGCCCTACGGGTTAGTTAGTATACACCGCTTGGCCCTACCACTTGAAGGGTTTTTTGGGGAGGCATAGTTCCACTGGCGCAGAGTGGGACTCGAACTCGAGCCTCTCCTCTGGAAGGGTAACTCCACAACCAGCGGAGTTGAGTTGCTTCGTTCTTTTGGATCAATGCGTAAGGGGCAGGGGTGTCGTACCACTTATACCTGGACCTAAAAGGTATTTTGTATGTGGCTCAATAGTTCCAAAGAAAATTAGGGATGGGCGTGGTTCGTGTCGGTTCATGATACTACCAGAACCTATCACGGGCCGTTCTTGTTTAAACGATTCAGTATCGGTACGTGCTGAACCCCAAAACCATTTGATATCATTATGTTTTGAAATGGAACGGTACAATACCATACCTATGCCCAAGTTGTGCCAAAAATTTGAACACACATTACTCAAATAATATTAAAGAAAGCACCCAACTTTATTAAAAAAGAACAATATTGAATTGAAAAATATGATAAACGTGAAGAGTACTTCGTAAAAGATAATGAGTCCAAATTTAAAATATGCAGAGTACTCGGTAAGATTTTTTTCCAATTATATAATGAGAAATTTACTTAAATAATACTAAAACATAATGACTTTCCCTGTAACACCCTAATCCGTCCAGGTCTGCAGCCCCTTTTGGACTAAAGTATTAACTTGGAAATCGTAAAAATTTAAAACTTTTCAAACACTTTCATTTATCACAATAATATTTTTCATAATATATACAGTACGGAGTATTCAACAATAATGCGGAAGCGAATTAAAAATTGACATATCATAATTCATTTCAAAACTTGTCACATCCATCCCGACAATCTCGCCTCATCTGCCACCAGGATCACATTGTTCTTTCTGTTTACCTGCGTGTAGCAAATAAAACATACTACACGCTCAGCGGTAAAGCTGAGTAAGCATATCTAATGCGTCGAACATCCATATAAACTGAATCTAAATTCATAATCAAATCATTTGATATCATGCACACAATGTTCACTTCAGACATTCACAGTTTTGATATTATTCAGTTCTTATCAACATATTTTATTCAATTCAGTTATTATTTTGATAGTTCTCTTAAATCGTTCTTAATCTAAGGCCAAATCATAACAACGCTCTTAACTATTCTTAGTCTAAGGCCAGATCATAACAACGCTCTTAGCTATTCTTAGTCTAAGGCCAGATCATAACAACGCTCTTAGCTATTCTTAGTCTAAGGCCAGATCATAACAACGCTCTTAGCTATTCTTAGTCTAAGGCTAGATCATAATTTCATTCTCAGACGCTTAAACTCTAATTAGTTTAAGGCAAACATTTCTCAGACGCTTAAACTATAATTAGTTTAAGGCAACAGTTCTCCGACGCTTAAACTTTAATTAGTTTAAGGCAAACAATACTCAGACGTTTAAACTATAATTAGTTTAAGACAACAATAAGACAATAATTAATCATCATTGAGTCGAAGTATTTCCAAACGAGTGATCCTCTAGTTTGATCATCAATTATTCAGATTTTCACAATCCCTTTTAATCTGAGATCTATTCTAGAGGTCTTGTAGATAACCTTAATATAAATTATTTAAATGTGTATATCTTAGAGTTCTTCTAGATACTCTTAACAATACACATCATTTCATAATTATCAATATATTCATTTTTAATCATGATTTAATCATTCATAATTATTATTTTAATAAGAATATTCATCAAAGTCTAATTATAAACAACATCAATAATAATTTTAACAATATCCAATAACAAATAACGGTCTAGCATCGAGTGTTAACACCTTAGCTTACCGTCTGATGGTGTAAATTACCACGCAAATACTAAGTATGAGTAATCGGAAGGGTTGTAGGTGGAAACACCTGTAACCCGATTTGTTATTAATGATAATAGGAGTTAAATACAAGCCGTGCAGGTTAATAAAAGCATGCCTCACAAATGAGGCTTTTAGGGGTATTTATAATAATCCTAAGCACGTCAAGCACGTCTCTGATTATCCAACCGGTCAGGCAGCTGACCGGCCCACCAGGTGTACATCGAAAATAGATCTTCGGGTATTGGCGTCCGGTCTCCCCATCCAACCGGTCAAATAACCCAGGCTGAGAAAGGCGCGTGATGTCACTTCCATCACCACCCAGTCAGGTGAACCAACCGGGTGGTATCCTTGGGTTATTACCCATTAAGGAGTCCTCCGATTCCCGGTCCTGTGGAGACCATCAGGGGCGGGAAGCACATGCGATCATTTCCTGGAATTTGAACTGCCCAGTCGCTTTTTGGCGGGAAAATCGTCTCGGAAAACCAGCGCCAACCCAAAATATTTGAAATTTGAATTTTGAATTTTGCAATTTCAAAAACTGGGTGTCCAAAGCGGGAGAATATTCTCGAAGTCGGGTACGGAGCCGCCGATTTATTGTGCCGTTTCATCTCCCCGAGAAGTTAGGATGGCAAATCATTTCAGCTGCCACGCGTCATTCTTTCGTTCGTCCGTCTGGGCGGCCTCTCTCCTATATAAAGCGATGTCCTCCCTAGGATTTCTTCACTTGCAAATCTTCGATTTAAAAAACTGCCCGGCTGCTTCTACTACTATCGAGTCCTCCGAGTCCTCTTATTCCAAGTAAGTCTCTTTCTTTCCTCTTCCTCGAGTCATGTCTGACCACGAAGACAGCCAGGCCCTTCCGCCCATTCTTACGGTTCTGGTGACCGGGCTCAGACCTCCGGTTCCTCCTCTTCTTCATCCTCTGATTCTGAGCACCCAGCTACTTCTCCACAGAAAAAGCCGGCTGATGCTTCCACTTGTGCTCCTTCTTCTTCCGTGGCGCAAGTGATCTCGGTTGCCCAACCTGGGGATGAGGGCTTTGTTCTGCTGGATGACCGGTTGCTCCAAACGCAATCGTCGGTCATGCAGAAGGCCCAAGTCCACGAGGTGCGCAACCTGATGCCGGACGGGTACCAATTAACTTACCAGGCAACGTGGAAGAGCATTATTCCTCTCCACGCCGGTACGTCGATTGGTATCCATTACCACTCTATCAAGGACCTGGGCGAATTCTCTATTCATCCATTCAAAGTCCTTTTCCTCGAAACATACGGTATCATGCCCGGGCAGCTGGCCCCTAATGGTCACCGTTTGTTGGGCAGCTTCATCAATGTCTGCCGGTTCCTTCGTATTCCTCTTTCCCTTCGTCTCTTCGACCATATGTTCGATGTCCGGCCCGGGTCCAAGGAGACCCTTGGATTCGTGGTGGTGTCTTCTCACCAAGGCCGGGCATTTCTCTATGGCCTTCCTCCTTCCAACAAGAAGTGGAAGGACAAATACGTCTGTATCAAATTCCCCCCGACCGCCTTTCCTTTTACCCAAAATGTCTGGGGGAAAAAATGAAGCGCCAGGTCAAACCGACGGAGGCCGATGACCTGGTTGCCTGGGAAAACACCCTCCGGGCCGGGGATGCCTCCACCCGCGGTCTTTACCACGTCGGGAAGTGGAGCGTCTACTCCGTCCGGGAGACTGACCCTGAGCCGGAGATTGTCCTGCCCGGGGCGATCCCCGAAGCTATCCCCATCCGCCAGGCGAGGGGACCCAAAGCCCAGGCCACTGCCACCGCCGGTCCTTCACGCCAGGGGAAGAAGAAGAAGGAGAAAGGTCAACCAACTGCCCCTCCCTACTTTCCTCTACATTTATTTATCCTCAACTCTGTTTTTCTAACCGGTTTCTTTTCTTGCAGTGGTGAAGTTCCAGTCGAAATTTGCCACCCCAAAAATCATCGTTGAGGAGCCCTCCACCGCCCAACTTCTCAGCCAACCTTCGGTCCAACCAATCTCTTTGGACGAGCAGCCGGCCCAGTCTCAACAGGGGACCAGCCAGCCCATCCACTCCGGGGAACTCTACATCAATGTAGATACCCTGGAGTTCGACCAGCTGATGGAGGCTGGTCAAGCAAACCAGCTGGCCGAGGGAGGCCACGACGAAGAGGAGGCTGCTGAAGAGTCCCTTAAAAGGAAGAGGCGGAAGACTGAAGTAGTCGACCAGCCGGCTCATCAAGCAGCCCAGTCCTCCGATGCCGGCAAAAGGCAAAGCCATCCCCGGTCTATGGCTCTAATGTCTAGATCGGACGAAGAGCTCCTTCAAGCCTTCCGCGCCGACCTGACTGAGGTAATCCCCTTTCTCCCTTCTTACCGCCCTCTTATTGCTTCTGATACCCTCCTGAAAAACTTTTCATGTCTTTAAAGCAGGTCGGTCGGATTGGTGAGGAGTACTTCACCCGGCTGGTGAAGTCAAGGGACGAGGAAAAGGCCCGGATGGAGGCCATGATGGTCGAATGCCGGAAGGAGGCTAAGGCCGCTTTTGAGAAGGCGGCGAAGGCGGAGGAGAAGCTGATGGACCATTGTGCGGTCTACCGCCAGCTGTATGCGAAGCATGACGGTCTCCTCAAGGCCGCGAAAGAGGTTGATGAGCAAGCTCAGGCAAAGATCCAACAGCTTGAGGCCGAGAACGCCCGGTCAGCTGAGGAAATTGCCCGGCTCGGAGACGAGCTGGAGAAAGAGCGCTCGGAAAGGGCTCCTCTTGCTGCCGCCTGGGCTGTTCAAGCGCCTGAGGAGTTTGCTGCCCAAGCACTTCCTGAACGGGAGACTGCCATCCGCTTCTTCCAAGGTTTATACAAGCACGAAGTCTCGGCCGGGATCATCGACGAGATCGGAACCTACGGTTTCGAAAGCGGTCAGTACGATGAACGGCGGGCTCTATATAGTATCCTTGAGCAGCGGATTCAAGGTTTTCAGCCCAAGGCTCTTTCTCTGCCCGAGCTGCATGATGAGGCACCGGTCGCGCCTTTCCCGGGCATCTGATTTCCCAGCCTTTTCTTCTCTTTTTTTTTACTTCCCATGTGTAATGATCTGCCTCCAGGCACTTTTGTAAGACGCTCAAATATTAATGCAAGTGTTTTTCTTCTATATTCTCTTCAACCGGGAAGACTTTGAGTTTCATTAATTTTCTTCCGGTCGGTTAATAACCCGTGATGGCGTATCGAGTATTTGCCCGGGCGCTTATAAGGCCGGTACCTTTTCACAAGGGCTTCTTTTCACAATGGCTTAAAGCCCTTGTGAAAAGGTAAACCTCGAGTTTTTTCTTCAGAACGTCTGACTTAAACTGGCCGGGATGCTCTCCCTTTAGTCAAGCCAAATCGCTTTAACTCCCGTGTTAGTACGGATGAGGTGTAGGATCGGTCAGACCGGTCTCTCTCTCCTTTTTTTTTGAGATGCCAATTCGATTGGACATCTAACCGGGTAGATCGGTGTGTTGATCAATTACCGGTTGATGTACGAGGACAATCTTTCTGAAAAGAACAAAGTTTTATTAACACCTAGGGAACTCATTACAATTTATCTAAAGAATTTACGTAAGTGATGAGAGTTCCAATGTCGGTCAACCCGGCCACCTTCCATAGTCTTTAGTTGGTAAGTGCCCGGCCGGATGATCGCCTTTATGCGATAGGGTCCTTCCCAATTTCGCACCAACTTGCCTCTCTCGTTAGGTTTACTAGCATCCCGTCTGCGCAAGACCTCATCATGCACTTGGAAGTACCGTGGGCCCACCCGGTTGTCGTGATATCTCTTTACTGACTGCTGGTAACCGGCCATCTCGACAGCTGCTAGGGTCCTTCATTCTTCCACCAAATTTAACTCAGCTAGGTGGTCGACCTCGTTCTGACCGGGCTGGTACACGGTTTCTCTAAATGTTGGAATTTCTGCTTCAACTGGAAACCGGGCTTCACATCCGTAAGTGAGCACAAATGGAGTTTCTCCGGTTGCCCTTCTTGAAGTCACTCTATGCGCCCAGACTGTGTGAGGCAAAGCTTCCAACCATTTATGGCCTTCTTCACCCAACCTCTTCTTTAGGCCGTCCACTATCGTCCAGTTAGCATTTTCAACTTGGCCATTTCCCTGTGGATAAGCTACTGAGGCCTTGCTGTGCTTGATTCCAAAACTAGCCAAGTACTATACTCAGTGAACCGGGGGTTGCAAAACTGTGGACCATTGTCGGTAACAATCATCTTCGAGGCACCAAACCGGGTGATAATGTTTTTCCAAACAAATTTCTCACACTGCCGCACGGTTATGGTAGCCATCGCCTCGGCCTCGACCCATTTAGTGAAGTAATCAATAGCCACCATCACAAACTTCTTTCCGCCTTGGGCGACCGGGAAGGCTCCAATAATGTCAATCCCAAACCGGGCAAATGGTATGACATTAGACGTTGGTTGGTAGTATGTGGCCGGTCTGCCGGGATGTTTGTAAAAAACCTGGCACGTCTTACATCTCTGGACATACCGCTCACAATCCCCAACAATAGTCGGCCAGTAGTAGCCAAGCAATATTATCCTTTGAGCCAGAGTGCGAGACATTTGATGGGCTGCACAAACTCCCTCATGCACCTCAGCTATTACCCGTTCAGCCTCCGGGTTGGTAAGGCAACGTAGGAGAGGTCCACCAATGGCACGTTTGTACAAGTGACCATCGATTACCTGAAAACGGGGAGCCCGCAGGACCACCTTCCTGGCCCGCTCCTCATCATCCGGTTTCTGACCGGTCTCCAAATATTCCATGAGATCGTATCTCCAGTCATCATCTGTTCCGATTATCCCGGTTGCCGAATTCTGGCCCGGTTGGATAGCCGCGACTTCAAACCGATCAGTACTTGGTTGATCTAAACTCTCAATTTTAGCCAACTTCGACACATGCTCCGGGCATGATTGCATTAACTTCGAAAGCATATCAGCGTCTGTGTTCTCCGACTCGGGTATCCTAGTCAGACGAAATTCTTCCAATTCCCTCAGAAGTGCTCGGACCAGGTCACCGTACCGGGCCAGACGCTCCTCTTTGACCTCCATCTCGCCATTGATCTGTCCAACTACAAGACTTGAGTCGGAACGAATTCTCATTCTCTTTATTCCGAGTGCCTGGGCTAGTCTGAGGCATCCGGCCAGTGCCTCATACTCTGCCTCATTGTTGGAAAGCTTGAAGTTGAAAATCAAGGCATGGTAGATTTTGAACCCTTTTGGAGTAGTGAAGACTATGCCGGCTCCGCATCCCTTCGGTCTAGAGGCCCCATCAATGGCCATGTCCCACCACGGTTCGACCGTATGAGAAGGTCCGGCTTCGGGCTCTAGACCGGTCAGTTCGACGAGGAAGTCTGCCAAAGCTTGACCCTTGATTGCGGTCCTTGGTTTATACTCTATTTTGAACAGAGTGAGCATCATCGCCCACTTGATTAATCGCCCTGAGGAGGTTGAATTTCGGAGGACCGGCCCAAGTGGCTGATCGGTTATTACTTCCACAGTGTGAGCTTGGAAGTACGCGGTCAGTTTTTTGGCTGTAATGAAAAGTGCTTAGGCTGTTTTCTCAATGGCAGTGTACCGGCTTTCTGCCCCATTAAGTGCTTTGCTCACATAGTAAATAGGCCTCTGGCCGTCTTCATTTCTTATTAAGACAGAGCTTACAGTGTTTTGGGAAATTCCTAAATACAAGTACAAAGTCTCACCCGGTTTGGGTTTGGACAGAACTATATCAGAAACTAAGTACTCTTTCAGCTGCTGGAAAGCTTCCTCACACTCCCGGTCCCACTCGAATGTGTTGGCCTTCTTCAGAACTTTGAAGAAAGGCAGAGCCCTCTCAGCGGACCGGGAGAGAAAACGGCTCAAAGCTGCCAACCGCCCGGTGAGTCGTTACACGTCCTTCAGCGAACTGGGCGACCTCATCTCAGTTATGGCTTTAATCTTCTCAGGATTAGGCTCAATACCTTGCTTGGTCACCATGAACCCCAGAAACTTACCGGTCTTTACAGCAAAGACGCATTTCTTAGGGTTGAGACGCAAGTTATACTTAGCCATAATCTCGAAGCAAAGCCTCATATCTGCCGGATGGTTTCCCGCACCCGGGCTCTTGACAAGCATGTCATCTACGTAGGCCTCCATGGACTTACCGAGGAGTGGCTTAAAAAGCCGGTTTACCATCCTCTGATAAGTGGCGCCCGAGTTCTTCAGTCCAAAGGCCATCACCCGGTAGCAATAAGTGCCTTCAAGAGTTAAGAAAGAGGTTTTCTCCTTGTCTCCCTCGGCCATGAAGATCTGATGATAGCCTTTGAAGGCATCCATGAAGCTCAGCAACTCACACCCGGCCGTCTCATCGACCATCTGATCGGGACTGGGCAGCGGGTATGAATCCATGGGGCATGCCTTGTTCAGATCCGTGTAGTCCACGCACATGCGCCAAGAGTCGCCTTTTGGTGCCAGGACGACGTTTGCCAACCAGGCCGGGTATTGTACTTCTCTTATGTGTCCGACCGCCAGCAAATCCTTCACTTCTTTATTTACAAAGTCCCTTCGGACGTTCGCCAAGTGCCTCTTCTTCTGTTTCACAGGCCTGCTTCCTTCCATCACAGCCAAATGATGGCATATGGCAGAACGGTCTATGCCCGGCATGTTCGCCACACTCCAAGCGAAAATATCTGCGTATTCCCGAAGGACTGAGATGATTTCATCTCGAAGTCCCCCGGGCAGATCCCTACCTATTCGCACCATTCTTTCCGGGAAGGCCTCCCGGAGAACGATCTGCTCGGTTTCATCACCCGGCTCTAGCTTTGACCGGTCTTCCTCCTGAGAGACCAAAGTGACTCTCTCAAAAGCCTTCGTCATTTTCTTTACAGCTTCCAAATAGCAATGTCGGGCCTTCTTTTGATCTCCTCTGACTTGTCCTATACCGCCCGGGGTATAGAACTTCATACAGAGATGGGCCATGGAGATGACTCCACGGACCTTGTTTATTCCAGGCTGGCCTAAGATGGCGTTGTGAACACATTTGATGTTCATTACCACAAACCTCATTTGTTTTTGAATGACCTGGTCCCCTGTGCCCAACTCACAAGTCAGAAGGATTGACCCTTCAGCTTCAACAGAGTCCCCGGTGAACCCGGACATGAGAGTCTTTAAGGGCTCAAGCCGTGTCCGACACAACTTGAGCTTTTCAAATGCATCCAAGTACAAAACGTTGACACTACTGCCCGTGTCAACGAGTACCCGGGAGACATCGACTCCACCCATATCCATAGTTATGACCAGGGGGTCATTGTGATCTTCTCCGGTGGCAGGGAGGTCCCGGTCAGTAAAGGTGATCGGCTCCCGTCTTGCCTGTTTTGACCGGGGATTTAGGGCCACCGTCCCGACGTAAAGCTCTCGTCCCCATTTCTTCCTCTGGGAAGCAGAGTCTCCCCCCTCCGGTCCACCGTATATGACCTACAAATGCTCTTTACCGGGCGCTTTCTTCTTCTTATTCTGTTCGACCGGCTTTCCTTCAGGCCTGATCCATTGGTTTTTCTTTTGCTTGGCCTGAGCTAGATACTCAGGATCGATCTCCCCGGCCTCGATCATCTGCTTAATTACTCCCTTCACACTGTTACACTCCGCAGTGTTATGGGAATCAGTTTTGTGGAAGGAGCAATACTTCTCCGTCCATTGTTTCTCGCCGGTCGGGTTCTTTTCTGATTTGACTGGTTTAACTTCCATGACTGCTGCCTTTGCCCTCCCGGGCTGTTCAATTTCCTTTTTCAAGGAAACTTTTCCTTTGGAATGGCCCTGCTCGGCCTCCCTCTTAGATGACACCTGTGCTTCGGCGTCAGCATAATCCCAGGCCGTGTTGTAGGCCTCTTGGTATGACTGGGGAGGTCACCTGCAGAACTCTTTATACAATTCTCCGGACCGGAGTCCGGATACTAGGAGGGACATGGCGGTTTTGTCGTCCATCTCTTCGAATTTATCAACTTCATCCTTCCACCGGGTGAGGAATTTCGTTAAATCCTCGTGCTCCCTCTGCCCGGCCGTGCTCAAGTAGGTGAACTTTTTCCTCTTGGTGCAATTTTCCTTGAACTTCTCCTGAAACACCTCGGCCAGCTCATCGAAAGAATCGATCTCACCGGCCGGTAAGTTATGAAACCACTCAGCGGCTCGGCCGCGGAGGGTTTGGAAAAAAGTAAACATTTTTCATCCCCGGAAAGGCCCATCATCCTTCCACTTTGATGAAGGGTCTTGACATGTATTTCCGGGTCCTCCTTCCCAGTAAACTTCGGGACCTCCAACTTTGCTTTCTTTGGAAATGGGGTCTCGTGAACCCGGTCTGTGAACGGAGATTCGTTCAGCAGGATTTTCTTCTTTTCATCCCGATCCACCCGGCGCTGCAACTTTTCCAAACGTGCTTCGACCCGGCCCACACGATCCCGGGGTTGTTCAACATGGGAGCGGATTGTGTGCCTAGGATGGCTTTCCGCTTCTTCTTCTCCATGGGGCGCCCGACTATGTTGGGGCTCTTCGCGATGGGGAGGTTCCGTGCGCCCGGTCCGACCAGGTCGCTCGGCCCCTCTACCCAGGCGATTAAAAGCACTCAACGGGGTTGTCTCCACTCCTAGTCGTTCTTTGGTAGGTCGGTTTTGATTTCTGCCTTCATGGCCAAGCCTTTGAAACGCTGACCTCCTGGACCCTTCAGGTTGAATAGCTTTTCCCTTCAACTTCTTTTGTGCCTGGGGTACATCCCAATCCTCATCCCTGCTATGGACTGGTCGCACATCGCCATCAGGCGTGATCTGCGTGCGCGACCTCCGGGACCGACTCCTTCTGGATCGGGACGGGCCAGCTTTGTCCATCTCTCCGATTAGATTTGTTGGAGCGACTGGGCGGATGATATTAGTTTGGGGCAAGAATTGTGGGTATAACACCTGTCCAAAATCCTCCCGGCTGTTGAAACATGGACATGAACTGCCCAAAATTTTGGAATGCCTGTGAAAACAGTGGGTCTACGGGCCCGGGAAAATTTGGAGGAAAAATAGGGATAGAGGTGACGGGGGAAGTGAATGGAGTAGGTGTTGGAATGGTGATGATGGGGGTAGGAATCTGGTTTGAGGGTTGCGTACTCCCTCCCGGGAACGAGGCGACGTTCTCAACGGGAGTAGAGATTTGTGAGATGACGGTTTCCTGATTGCTTGTCATGGCTTTTTGTAATAGGTCCCACGGATGGAGCCAATTTGATGGTGTAAATTACCACGCAAATACTAAGTATGAGTAATCGGAAGGGTTGTAGGTGGAAACACCTGTAACCCGATTTGTTATTAATGATAATAGGAGTTAAATACAAGCCGTGCAGGTTAATAAAAGCATGCCTCACAAATGAGGCTTTTAGGGGTATTTATAATAATCCTAAGCACGTCAAGCACGTCTCTGATTAGCCAACCGGTCAGGCGGCTAACCGGCCCACCAGGTGTACTTCGAAAATAGATCTTCGGGTATTGGCGTCCAGTCTCCCCATCCAACCGGTCAAATAACCCAGGCTGAGAAAGGCGCGTGCTGTCACTTCCATCACCACCCAGTCAGGTGAACCAACCAGGTGGTATCCTTGGGTTATTACCCATCACCGTCATACATCACATAAAATTTTATTTGTCAAAACATCATTTTTATTTTATCACATGAAATTTTATTTGTCAAAACATCATTTTTATTTTTAACAATTATTTTTATATTGATCATAATTGATTGGTATAAAAAATTAGGCTTTTAAAGCTTTAAAATAGCATTTTTGGACTTAAAAATGTTCGTAACGGTCGACCGTTGGGTTTGAACGGTCGTCCGTTCCGTTGGAAAGTGCAGGAAGATGAAGGGGTTACTATTTATCATCTTCAACCTCTAACCCATTTTTCTCAAGTTCCATTTTTGGTCACCAAACTTCAATTAAACTATATAGAAATGTTCTCCAAGGTTCGTAGATTATTTTAGAGGCATCAATTCGAAGTTTTAACAACAAATTCAAAGTTTATGATTCTTGGTTCTTCACATATGTCAAACACAAAACTCAACCAAACGACCATTTATGAACGTAGAAACGATCTATACGAACATTCTAGTCACTAGATATATCTACGGGCTTACATTGAAGTGAAACGATGATTCCGGCGGAAAAACGGCGAAACTTTCGGCGAACACCACCGCTTTCCGGCGACGGGAAGCTCTCCGGACAGCTTCTCTCAACTCTCTGAACTCTCCTCTAACTAATGGGATAATTTTGGTGTGAAAATGATGAAGAATGTATGGCTCTATATATAGGCCTGGGAGAGGGAGTTACGTTTGAAGTTTGAAGCCCTGTGATTTTCTAAGTTTGATTGCCGTGAGTGGAGGAGGCGGCTGCTATTTAATTTCTTCCAGTTTAGTTTGATTAAATTACTTCAATTGGGGTACACTTTTTGGTCCAACTTTATCCAAATTGAAATCCGTTTACACCGTTGCGATGAGACAGTCAAATTCTATTTAATGATATAATTTTTATATTTATTTGAAATACTTTTTCTGACAGCATATTTTTGGGTGTTGACTTTGACAGAGTCAAAATTGAATTAATTGATATGTAATTAAAATTAGTCTCATATTCAATCAATATTATTAAATATAAATACTTATTTCAATACATCATTTTACAAAAGTTCACATCTTTGACTTTTTCTCATTTTTATACAAATTACATATTTAAAATGTCATAACTGAACTTCTGTACATCAGATGTATTCATAAAATATACCGTTAGTTTCGTCTCTTCAAGACCTATCCATAAAAGTCAATCTTAACAAAAATTATTGACTCTAAAAATTCCTTCATTTTTGGTCAAACATAGAAATAATGCTTTGTTGAGTCAAAATATTGTTTCTAAAAATACTTTTATAATAGAATAACTTTTAGACTATGTTTTGGGGCGTTACATTCCCAATATAGGACCATATGTTTTTATTTCCAAATGTAGGACCTTTGGTCATTATCAAATAGTCATTATTCAAGTAAATGTCAATCATTATTGAACATTATTCCTTCCGCTAGGTCATTATTAAGTCCTATTTAGAGAATAAAAAAGTTTAAGTCCTACATTGGAAAATCATTATGTTTAGTCCTATTTAATACAAATTTTACTTAGTAGACAATTACTTGCAAAAAATAATGATCATAGTAATAATAAATTAATAACAACAATAACAATTAAAGGATATTAAAAAAGACTAATACAATGCAAAGTACTTCCTATATGGGAAGATGAAGTAGACAAAAAAGTATTAGACATACTCTGTAGCTTTGAACGGTTCGGTCCATGATAATCGATTTTAAATTTTTGTATCACGGTCCCGTCATATTTGATATCGGTTCGAGATGGAAAAAATTAATCTCGTTTAAAAATACTATGAATGGTTCGGTACCATTACGATCTGGTATGGTACAATGCTAGTTCAGTTTTTTTGCCCACCCCTAAAGAAAATTGAAGAAGTCCTATCTATTAACCAGAAAAGGATCAAGTTCAAATGGAAAACAGTCTAAAACTGACTTAAGGGATAAAATGACCAATTTGGGAAAAGGTTTTAGCAATCATGAGAAAACAAAAAAAGGAAAAACAGAATCAAAAGTAGTGCACAATCCATTCTCAAGTAAATATAACGGTTAAATATAAAGATAGAATGAAAATATTCATTCAATCCATTGATTACAAGTTATGGATGATGATCAACAATGGAATTTGTCTTCCAACAAAGAAGGTAGCAAGAAAAGAGTGTTCAAACCCGTAGAGGAGTACACGGATAATGATATCAAGAAGGTAGAATAAAATGCTAAAGCTCTACACCTTCTATATTGTGCCACTTATGTGGAAATATTCCAAACATTTTTGGGCTAAAAAACAACCAAGAAATTATGGGATGATATTCAAGAGAAATATGAAGCTCTTGAAAGAGAAAAAGAAGAAACCCAAATTTGCTTCATTGCCAATGAAGAAGAAGAGGTAAGCACTTCTAAATCTCCTTCCTTTGAAGAATTACAAGAAGCTTTTAAAGAATTATTTGGTGAGTATAATTAAGAAAGCTTCAAAAATTTTCGAAAAGGATAAGGCTAAAATTCAAACTTTAGAAGAGGAAAATAAAGTTTTGAAAAATGATAATCATGACCTTAAAAATAAAATTAAGGCAATGAAAGAACCTTCCTTTCTGTTGACAATAGTTCTACTTGTTATTCATGTGAGTCTTCGAAGTTAAAGAGCATAGAACCTAAAGACACTATTGAAAACTTAAGGTTGTAAGAAAATAATTAAATTATTTAAGAAAAATAGACCATCTAGAAGAAATAATAATCCTAGGAATAACATAAATAATTTTAGGAATAATAAGAATAATCATAGACAACTTAGAAATGACTCTAGGAAATTTTAAAATGATAGGAACAATTTTGAACAACTTAGAAATGAGTCTAGGAATTTTATTATTCATTCTAGGAATCATGATTTTAGATCACCTACATATTATTTGGCTCAACCTAGACATATGCACAACCCGAACGTGATATGCCACTATTGCAATCGGGTAGGACACAACACCCATATGTTTTGCTAAGCATAGAGATTTATTATACAACTATGATTATTATTTGGCTAACAATCAAGGACCCAAAAGTGGTTGGATACCTAATTTTCATTTTTAGATGCGCCAAGGAAGGTGTGCTTGAAGATTACAAAATATAGTGGATGCTCCAAACACTTAACCAAAGAGATTGCATCAAAGAGAAGTAATTACATAATTTTTGTGCATGAATTTATGTGAATTACTTGTTATATTTTTTTGAGAAATATATATAGGTTGCTTTGTATATGGTAAGGGGGAAGTGTTTTGTTGGAAGTAAAAAAAATGAAAGAGAGTGTTTTTGAGAGCGGAGGGAGTATCATTTATTTTGTATTAAGGGCCTATTCTTTAATACTAGAAAAAGTGTTGTATATGGGAAGAAACTAAAAGAAATTGAAAGAAATTTGAAGAAACGAGAAGGAACTAGAAAAAATAGGAAAAACTAGAAAAACTCAAAAAAACTTTGCAATATTTATTTAAGTATATTTTTTATATTATTCTCAATCAAATTGTTGTTTTTATAATTTATTAGTATTATTAGTATTATTATTGTATTCATAATCACGTTATCTTAATAAATATCTTTAGAGTAAAAAAGTATTGTCATTTTTTATAAACAAAAAAATCTAATTTTGTAAAAAAAGGTATTATGGTTATGTTGCATCTCAATTTATTTATGCAGTATTTATTATAAAATGGTTATGTTGCACCTCAATTTATTGATTTAGTATTTATTATAAAATAATTTTTTGTAATTACACTTTATATATTACAAGATGTTATTTTAAAATTTAGACTTGTCACAAAAAGTGATCAAATTTTCTTTTTTCTGTCATGATTGACATTTTATTTACGTTGTAAATCTAATTTTTGGGAATAAAAACACAGAACTCGTATTTTGGTACGTTTTTTATGTTTTACTCTTAGTTTAGTCTATTTTTTCTAAGATATTTTGACTTTTAAAAATTTTATAAAAATGTTATAAATGTTCTCCTCATATCAATTTAGAAGAGTGTGAATCGTAAAAATAATGACATGAAAAAATAAAGTATGTATTGCTATAGTCAAGCACACTACAGTTGTAATAATAATGATGATGATGATGATACTAACAATACTACTACTAGTACTAATGATGATGCTAATAATAATATTAATATTAAAAATACATTGTTTTTAGAGTAATTGTTTGAGGAGTAGAAAGAGATTGAAGAAAATGAGAACGATTGGAGAAAACTGGAGAAAAATTAAACTAGAAGAAACTGGACAGGAATAAATTGTAAGTCCCCAAATGATTTCCACAAATAGTCATCTGTTAACATTTCTATTAGGAAATGGATAAAATTGAATATTCACACTCCTCTCGTACTCATTCCAAAACCCGTCGCTGAGTTTGAAGCTCTAAACCCAAAACCGAAAAGATCATTCATCACACAATTTTTCATTTTCCTGGTGGAACCCAAAATCGAAATTAATAACCTTCTTGAATGAGTTTTATGAGTTAGTCGCAGGAAATTGCAAAGAAAACGAACATTAAAACTCATCCATGAATGTTACTAGTTTTGATTTTAGATTCCACCAAGAAGATGAACAATTGGGAGAGGAGTGATGATTTTGGTTTTAGGTTCAAAACTTCAAACTCAGTGACGAGTTTGGGGAATGAGTGCGAGAGGAGAGAGGAAACTTAGTTAAGGAGAGAATAGTGTGAATTTACAATTTTATCCACGTTTTTAACGGAAATGTTAACAAAGGACCATTCGTGGAAAATAATATAATAATTATTGGAGACTAAAATATTGGTATTTGATATGTAGGGACTAAATATGTACGACGAACTATAACTGATGACCTTTTATGTAATTTCCTTTTTGTTTTTAACCTCTTTTTCGTGATATTTTAATACTATTTGCAGTTTGTTTACAATCATTTCTTGTTTGTACTCCCTCCATTCCAAAAAGTTCTTCACGTTTCAAAAAAATGGTGTCCCAGAATCTCTTTTCCATTTATATTTAAAAATCACTTTTACCTCTTATCTTTTCATATCATACCTATCACATTATATCTTTTTTTCTAATAATCTACACATCACATTTTATTTTTTCCCATCATGTCAATGATTTTTTTAGAAAATCAATATAAAATTATATATCCTTATTTTACCATTTTAGTCAATATGTCTCTCTCTTTCTGGGACGGATGGTGTAGATTTTTATTAATAGGTTTTTTGAGTAAATTTCTAAAATAGTCCTTTGTAATAACGTGTTTTTCCAAATCAGTCCTCAATAAATTTTAATTACCCTCGTGGTCCTCTATAATTAAGATTTATTCCCAAGATAGTCATTCGTAAATAATATTACTCAAATGATGATTAATTGGGAGTAATTTGGTATTTTTATCCTCTAAATTTAAAATTAATTCTTAAAATGATCATTTATAATGAAGTGCTTTTCCAAAATGGTTTTTTCTAATTAAATATGTGTATTTGATTTGAAATTTAAATTTTTTTTATAAGTTTTAAATAATTCATGAATTATTTATAATCAATGTATTTTTTTAAATTTTACATTTAGTTGTACAGAAATGACTGTCTCGAGAATATATTTTAAATTTGGATGATCAAAATACCAAAATATCTTCCAATTAATCATCATTTGAGTAACATTATTTACGAAGGACTATCTTGAAAATAAATATCAATTATACAGAACCACATAAATAATTTAAACTTATTGAGTACTTAATTGAGAAAACACCTTATTACAAATGAATATTTTCAGAATTTACTCTATTTTTTGTTAACAAAAACGGAGCATCTTATTTACTTGTGTGGGCCATCTTTCCTTGAGCGATTTTCTATCATATTGTGACTTGGCCTGGGTTTTGACAAATTATTTTGGGTTGACATGTATGGGCTGGCATTGGCAGGATGAAATCCAGCTCACTTCTCAGAGACGAGGTTATGGCTCTATGGGTAGGATTGACTGATACATTGAATTGAATAGAGTTTGGCGGGGCGGGGGTAGCCAGTTTGGGACTTGGGTACTGATGCATTTAGAAAAGGATAATGTTGGGGTATCCTATTTGTGTACATACACAAAACATTAATTATTCATTTATTTGTGTATCTGTAAATCTTTTCACGTAGTCTTTAAAAAATATATTGCTTCAATTCCCATTTTTAGTGAATTTTTAAAACGGTACTTTTTAATAAAATATTTTTTTAAATTAGTCCTCAATAAGAAAAAAATATCTGTGTGAGTTGTTCTCTAAATAATCTTTAATCGAAAATATCAATTAAATGTCAATTAAATAAAAGGTATTTTGTATATTTTATCATCTAGATCAACTTAAAGTATGTTCTTGAAATGCTCTTTTATAATTAAGTATTTTTTAAATTGATAATTACTAAGTAAGTATTTTCTCGAAATGGAGTCCATGAGCCGACTCGAGAAGGAACCGTTCCTCTAGCAGCCAGGGACTTAATTTGAAAAGATCATTTTGGAAACTTATTCATAGTTTAGAGAGTGAAAAATATCAATTGAGAGAGAATCATTTAAGGAATTAATCTCAATTGTAAAAGAACACGTTAATACTTATTGCTTATTGAGGAACAATTTGAAAAACATCTTATTAAAAAGGACCATTTTGAAAATTACTCTAAAATTTAATTCATTCTAAAATACAGAATATTTTTTTTGCAAATGATATAAAAATAATAATATAACTTACATATTTAAAAAAAATATGAAGCACATCGAAACTCCATAATACAAATGGTAACATGACTATTTGTGAATTTTAGACTTCAAATAAATAAATTGATAGTATGCTTTAGTATAGAAATTATTTCATTAGATTTATCTTGTTTAGATCGATCTAATAGAATTTTTATTTATTATGTTAATATACAATACAATTTAAAAATAATTCATAATTAACGTGACAATATACCTAGAGAAAGAGTGTATAGACGTATAGTCTTAATTTGCTTGAAAGACAGACTCGTCACGTGTACTTGCCACAAAATAGTGTTAACTGTTAAGCATGCTCTTTATTTTTTATAGTTGTCATAATTCAAACTTAGGTTAATTTTATATAATCATGTCCTCTCGGCCAACTTGAAAATTGTACCAGATATTTTGATAATGATATTTTTATCCCAAGGGTCTTGTGCTCCATTTGTACGCAATTTTTGTTAACATACCAACACTTTATATCAATGTGAACCATCAAAATATTGTATACTTTTAGTGTAAATTTGGGGTACAAATTTTGGTGTAAGTGTAGCATGGTCTAATTTTATTATGTACCAACCACGAACCCAAAATATTGAATTTAAAGTTTTTGAGATGGTTCAATTTTTGTGCAAATCTGAATGAGAACTTATATAGTTATATGTCTACTTTGATTCAAAGGTTATAACAAAACCCTTTGAAAATATTTAGTGCATAAATGATATCCAAAGTACCACGTATTTCTTAGAAACATAGTAAAAATATTGTTATAAGGATCACAACGAAGTTGGATTTTTTGGGGGATAAACATTGTTTTTTAAAGAAACTAAATAAATTTCCAAATCAACATAGCTTAGCTTACTAGCTTAGCAATTACTCTATCAGTCTCTATATATTTAATTTCAAATTAAATAAAAATGATATTAAATATTATTCCCTCCGTCCCTGAGTGTTTATCCACTTTCATTTTTACACACCATTCAATGCACTTCTTTAATCTATTTTATCTTGTAATTTGTATATTAAAAAATTATATATTAATAATCTATATGTTAAGACGAATCAAACAAGATCACACATAACTATTTTTAGGCTTACACATTGAGAGAATTTGATGAGTCAAAGTACTTAGATGAACAGTTCCAAAAGTCAAAAGTGGACAAACACTCAAGGACGGACCAAGTAATACAAAACTAGTTTTATTGTATAAAATATTTTTAAATTATTATTTTATCTAATTAATATATAATATATATTTTATTTAATAATAGATTAAAGATTAAAAATGATTTATTACAAAAAACTCAAAATTGGAGAAATGCTCTAGCATTTGGTTAAGGGGAGTAGAGTTTAGTTCAATTGAATTGTGTTCAAATTGCAATCAAACCAACATATGGAGTAGTAAATTTGGCACAGAAAACTATTGCCCATCATAGGTTGAGCAATAATTAATCTTAGCTTGATTTACAGGCTCTGAGCGGCATCCCGCAGAGGCAATCGTTGAAAATGAAAGACGACGCTTCTAGTTGATCGAACGGCCGGCCGGTAGGAATCGGGCCGCAGAGGTGGTTGTGGCTGACGTCGAAGTGGCCGATAAAAGAAGCCGTTTTGATCGAACTCGGGATGTTCCCGCTCAGGTTGTTGTACGATAAATCCATTACCATGAAGTAAGATTTAGGCACAAAAGCGTCCGGGATGTGCCCGGAAATTGCGTTGCGGCTCAAGTTCAGTATGCTGATATCGGAGGCTATCAACGTCGGCGGGATGTCGCCGGAAAATCTGTTCCCGTCGAGGTTTAGTGTGGCGAGAACCGGCATGGTCCCCAGAGAAGCCGGGATTGGGCCGGAGAGCCGGTTCATGGAGAGATCTAAATCCGCGAGCCGGTAGATGAAGGAAACCGAATTGGGAATCGGACCGATGAGCCTGTTCCGGCTAAGCAGAGCCCGGCTCAGCATTCTCAACCTCCCGAATGTTCTCGGGATCCCGCCGGAAAATCTGTTGTTCCGGAGATCCAAGTGCTTGAGGGAGGTGAGATTGGCGATGGAGCGGGGAATCTGGCCATTGAGGGTGTTATCCGCTACGTTTAGAACCGTGAGACGGCTCAACCGGCCTATGTCGGCCGGCAGCCGACCGGAGAGCTGGTTCCCGATGAGGTCGATGATCCGGAGGTACGACAAAGAAGAGATACACTCCGGGATGGTTCCAGAAACACCCTTCCAGTCGGCGATGATGAGGCTGGAGAGCCACTCGAGTTTACAGATCTCCGGCGAGATGGAACCGGTCATGTGACCGGTCTGGTTTGCCAGAATCGGGTCTTCGGATTCGCCTCGCAGGGTGATATCAGCAACTCGGTGGGTTGACGGGTCACAGCTAACTCCGTACCACCCCTTGCAGCAGTCTCCGCCATTCCACGTCTTGAATATCCCCAAGTTGGCTTCTCGGAGGCCATTCTTCAAGGCCAGCAGCGCCGCCTTATCAGACGGCGGGCACGCGTACACCGCTGAGAATATCGCCGTCCACAGCAGGGACCTTACGAACTGGACGCTAGCCATATCTGATGAATCTATATATCTCTCTTTAGTCTATATCTATAACTCGAAGCGCCACTCTACCGGTAGCTATGAAGGAGTCCTGCTATTTAATGTTGGAAGGTGATAGTGATTAGTGACACTACAAAAGGTCACTCCACACTAGGGATGTAAACAAATTAAATATTTTAAATTCGATTTGTGATTTGTATTTGAATATGATGATTCGAATTCACGTTATTCAAATACAAAGTCAAATTCAAATATTATTTTTGATTCGAATATTAATCAAATACAAATACAAATAGGGATATATTCGATTCGGATGATATTCGAATATATGATACACAGACCATGTTTTTAACATCAAAAGTCAAGCAAAGTAATATAGTATAAAGTGTATTTAAAATACTAAGAATTCAATAAATTAACGTAACACGAAAATCTAAAGCATATGATTTTTAATAGTTATATTTTATAAAATATAATTTGTGTAAGATGCAAATTTATTAATGCTTTTATATACGGAATATAGTATAGTATAAAGAGTATCGTAAGTTAAATTACAAATTGATGTTGGTCCATCATATAAATTACATAGTATGATTATTCAAATATTCGTTTATGATTCGATAACTATTCGAATACTAATCAAATACTTATTCAAATCTTATTTTGAATTCGTCTCATATTCGGATTCGTATTCGAAAAAATTAAACAAATACAAATTCAAATATAACGGTATTCGCTTCGATTCGGTTCGTTTACACCCCTACTCCACACTAAAATCATTTGTGGTTTAATTTCTCTATTAGTTTCAAAATTATTTTTAATATTCATTCACACAAAAATTATTTTTAATTCATGAACTCATATAGAACATTTTTCAATTTTAAAATTTTGATAAAAATTTTAGTTTGAATCATAATACAATAATAGTTTAATATAATAATTTTTTTCTTTAAATATGGACTATATTTTATTTATTAAATATGATGTCTTTTTAGAATAAAAATTATATTTTAAATAATAATTCACATTTATTCACATTTATATAGACTTTTTGTCCTGAAAGTAAATAAAAGAGAATATTGGCGAATAAGCTAAAGATTATACTCCGTATTGTCAAGGAACCAATTCAACCAAAAGCTCAAGTTTGTGGTTATTTTTAAACTGGGATGCTGAGTTTCGAACCCGTGACCTCTTACTCAACGAGGCTCTGATACCATGTCAAAAAACCAATTCAACTAAAAGCTCAAGCTTGTGGTTATGGATCAAGAACAATTATTTATATTCTAACACGTATAAAATGTTTTTAAGTAATACTCCATATTTATATAACTATCTTTTTTTAAAAATAAAATAACTATGTAAATTAAAAATGGTGAAAAGCATATTGATATAATACTTAGAAAATTGAAGATTTTATACAAAATCAATAGTAATTCAATGTATATTAACAACAAAAGTTATATTAAATAGTAGAAAATTAAAAGAGGAGGCGCCAAAGTTTTTTAACTAAAACTAAAATTTATATCTTATTTTATTTAAAAAGTAATAAAATGAAATAATCGATGAATACTTTTAAACATTTATTTACCATGTTTTTTAACATAATAAAGTTATACAGAGTATAACTTTTTGAATAATAACATAATAATGTATCTGGGGTGTATTTAGTTGACGGGTGAATTTAGTATTTTAGGGGTTATGGCTATCATCACCTCTTTAATGTTTTAAACCTGTTGATAATCAATTACTCACTTGGTTTCTAAAAGATTGTCACAGTCTAAGTTTTTAGTCAAATTATGGCATCCATTGGCCACGAATTAAAAGTAGTTCAAAATAATTATATATTATTAAAAAATTAAAATTTCAAAAACATATTTTAAAATAAATCCAATTTTACTAAATTTACATTGTAACTAAATATTCCCTCTGTTCGTAAAAGATTGCAACAGTTTGTTTTTAGGTCAAACTATGGCACCCTTAAATCGCGAATTCTCGAAAATGTATATTTAGTTATGATGTAAGTTTAGTAAAATTGGGTCTATATTAAAATATAGTTTTGAAATATCAATTTTTTTATAATATTTAATTATTTTATAGTTTATTTAATTCGTGGACAAAGAGTGCCATAGTTTGACGAAAAAAGTCAATCAAAACTTATGGGGTGCAATCACGACGGCTAAGGCGGTCATGAGGGGGGCGAGGTCAGGGGTGAAGGTTTATGAGCAGGGTTAAGAGAGGTGGAAACTATCAATTTTATGAACGGAACACCATATGTGCTCTGATTGAAATAGTGTCACGCGGTTTCACCATTTGAGATGGTGTATCTCTACACTTCCTCTTTTTTTAAATCCATGGATTATTTTAATTCCAAATGAATTTGGATATATTTTAATAGATTTATTTAAATATGAATTCCATGCTGATGGTGTAAATTAACGACTCAGGCATACTGTACTAGACCGAATCTAGGATAGTTTGCTGAGCTTAGAGAATGAAAAGGTGTAGAAGACAAGGAATGACCAGTAAGACTGTGGGTGGAAACACCTATAGTCTAATTATTATTAAGTATATGGAAGAGTACGGGGAGGTATTACACAATATGCTCTAGAGAGATAAAGTTCGGATCGCTTCATTTGAGGATTACAAAGGTATTTATAAGGAGATGGGGGACAGAGTGTCGCGCGTCCGCATCAGCCCATGTTCTCAGATTCCGCGAGGTGATTCCATCTTGTCCCATAGTGTTTTGTCATATTCCCTTATCATCTTGTTCTAATGACATCTTCTTTGGCGCGTAGTGCCCAACAGAGGATGCTGGAATATTCCTGTAATCTTTCGTTGAAATCAGTCGCTACTGTCCAACCATCTTTGGAGCTAATCGTGCCGACACTTTCACACCATAGAAACCTACCCAGTAGATTCACTATTCATACGTTCTCAAGTAACAGAAGACCACCAGCATGAAGTCATGTACTCTGGCTGGTAAGTCTACATATCATACCGGTCGGCTTTTCCAGTGCGACCAGTCATCTATATTTTTGTTTAAATCTTTCATTCTGATATACTTCCACCTGATCGGTCAACTAATGTGGATCCGGATTTGGACCGAGTCCTGGGTGGAATACACCCATCAATAAGCCCTCCACTTCTCGGCCTTGTAAATTTAGCAAGGGTGGGAAGTGAAAAATTGGAATCTGGTGCTTGAAATTTGAATTTTATGCTTTTCCCGCCCACATGTTTTAATTTTAAATTTCAAATTCCCTCATTTGACACATGTCGCACGTTTCCCGTATGCGATCATTGTGTTCTGCACCTTCCCGTATGCCGCGCCGGTTGACGTGTCACCTTCTCAGTCTACCACGCTTCGCGCAATCCTCCCCCTCCTCGCCTACCTAAAGGCTTCTCCCTCCTTTGATTCACTTTTTGCGAATCTGCTCTGGAGTTTTACGCGGTCAAAGTCCTTCTCAGCCCTCTGAGTCTCTTATCTTCCAAGTAAGTTTCCCAGTTCTTCTTTTGCCTTTCAATCCCGGTCATGCCTTCCGAGGATAGTCAAAACATTTCTACTGCCGCATATGCATCTGCATCTAAGGTGTCCATCCTGTTCTCTTCTTCTTCTTCTTCTTCTTCTTCTTCTCCATCCCAAGAGGAGCCAATTCTCGCAGACGTCCCGATTCTAAATCATGTGCCTGTTAGTCAGGAATCGGGTCCCTTTGACCCTGAACATGAGACCCGAGAGGAATGGGAGCACCGCCTCTGGGAGGCAGGTTATTTTCTCCTCCCTTTTGATAATATCAGGGAAATTCACCCGGTTGTTCCAAAAGTTGCCCTTAATAAAGCACGTCGGTTGCTCCTTGAGGGTTATACTTTCCAGTATGACCCTAACTAGCCCAACATCGTCGACCCTTACCGGGGGACTAGGGTAGGGTTCCACATCAAATCCCTGGAGGCTGGTATAATTTTCCAGTTCGCCCCCTCCTGGTCGGGGTCTGCCATGCCTTTTCCATTTTCCAAAAATTTAATGCATGTTGCTCCCTTATTTGATAGGACTTTGAAAATAATCACATTTATTACAATGACACATTATCTAACTATATACAAAGCTAGGATCAGTTTTTAAATAGTGTTCCTGCTTAAATTAATGGACTATCCAATTGGGTTTGAGCCTGTCAAATTGGGCCTAATTGATGGGTAATGTATTGACATGAAACCGCGTGTGGTGCGTGACTTGATGTAAACTTTATGTCAAATTAAAATAAATAAATATGTAGTGTATTGATATGGAACCCCGCGCTTAGTAATGTTGGTGCGTAGCTCGATGCAAACTTTATGTCAATTCAAAATAATAAATGGATATTGTATTGCTATGAAACTGCGTGCGTAGTAAAGTTGGTGCATAACTCGATACGAACTTTATGTCAAATCAAAATAAATAAATGGGTAGTGTATTGATATAGAATGACATGTGTAGTTATGTTGGTGCATGACTTGATGCAAACTTTCTCTACAAATCAAAATAAATAAATGTGTAATGTATTGATATGGAACCGTGCACGTAGTTATGTTGGTGTGTGGCTCGATGCAAAATTTACGTCAACTCAAAATAAATAAATGAGTATTGTATTGTTATGGAACCGCGTGCGTAGTAAAGTTGGTGCGTGACTCGATGCAAACTTTATGTCAAATCAAAATATATAAATAAATAAATGGGTAGTGTGTTAATATTGAACCGCGTGCATAGTTATGTTGGTGCGTGGCTCGATGCAACCTTTATGTCAAATCAAGATAAATAAATGGGTATTGTATTGATATGGAACCGCGTGCGTATTAATGTTGGTGAGTGGCTCGATGCAAATCTTATGTCAAATCAAGATAAATAAATAGGTAGTGTATTGCTATGAAACCGCGTGCATAGTAAAGTTAGTGCATAGCTTCATGCATATTTTATGTCAAATCATATTAAATAAATAGATTTACTAAATCAAGACATTTAATGGGTAAATTGATTGTCTAATTATATATATACTACTTATACTCCAAACATTTCATACCTCTCATCCCAATTTGACCCACTTTCAAAAAACGTTTCCAAACATTCAAAGAGTATATGGAATGTGCTTGCCGAAATTGACAATTGTCGAACCACTTGGATGCTTATGTTACAAGCCGTTCGTGTTTACTTTGTTCCGGCTTGGGCAAGAGGAGGATATTCAATAGAAGTGATCTTTCATCATGAACATGTATAGTATTCACAATTTCTTTAATATTTGATTATATGTTATTATTATAATTTAATTTTATCATTTTCTTTCATCAATGGTTTCCCTAATTATATACAGAGTAGTTTATAATTAGACCGTGCAACACACTATTACGTTTAGTGATGAAGGGTTCCTTTTCTATGTGAAAGAGCTGTTCTTGTTGTGTTAAAAGTTGGACGGGAAAGTATGACGAATTAGGTATTGGTCTCCTAAATTTACTACTCCATCACTCTAAAAAAAAGTCTTCTAATTGGGTTTGACTGAAAGTTTATGAAAAATGAAATTGTGTGGTTTGAAGTGGTGCAGAAAAGGAAGAAATGTCCGATCACACAAAATTTGCCAAAATGGAAATATGAGTCTTTTTTTGAGTTTTTTTTGGAATATGAGTCTTTTTTTGAGATGTTTCGAAAAAAATGAAGTCTTTTTTGGAACATAGAAAGTATTATTTATAAAATGTAATAATTTGTTATCCTAATATTGATTTTACCGTTCTTGATTTATAATTTCTATAAATATTATTTCTTCAAATGTGTTAATATTTGTTTTTCAAAATTGATATCAGATAATCGCTAGACTCCTTCCAATTCTCAGATCATAAACCTGTTTTTACTTCTTAATTCTCCAGGGTACTTTTTTTTTCTAATTTGACTTGTACAATTTAAAAAGTAGAACGTTTATGATTTGTATAAGAGTGCTTCTTTGGTGCACCATAAATAAGTCCATACAACTTTTGTGGATCTTCTTATATAAAAATTTATTTTTTACTTTTTATTAAAAAAATGGATGTTTATTTAAACAGTAAAGAAATATTTATTTTATTCATATGTAAGTTTTATCTTTTATTCATAGAAATATTTATTTTATTCATATGTAGGTTTGAATACGTAACTTTTATCTTTTTAATTCCAACCACTTTTCAAATAAATTAAATTGAAAATAGCTTCTGTCAAAATCATAAACTGAAATAAATGATTTAATTTAAAACGGGTGGAGTACATAATATATTAATTACATAAAACACTATTTTAAAAAATACTTTACGAGATAAATCAAATAAAATTATTCTTCTATCAATATCTACTACTCGATTAAGTTTGATTTACTTAAAACTGGAAAATTATCAATTTTAGTTGTAAAAAATTAAAGTAAAATTTGCACTAAATAAAACTAAAACATAATGACTTTCTCAACGTAGGACTTAAACTTTTTTATTCCTTAAATAGGACTTAATAATGACCTGGTGGGAGGAATAATGTCCAGTAAAGCTAGACATTTACTTGAATAATGATTAATTGATAATGACCAAAAATTCTACATTGGGAAATAAAAATATATGATCCTATATTTCCATCATCTCCGATGGAGACAAAATTTCACTATTTTTGGCTTTGGGGTGTGATGGAATAAATCAAAATGGATCTCTAAACTGTCTGCGCTTCTTTAGTTAATGAAGTAACAGTTAGTCAAGCAATGCAACTTTCGACGTTGAGCCGGGGGTCTCTTTGGAAACAGCCTCTCTACTTTCAAGTAGGGGCAAGGTCTGTGTACACACACCCTCTCCAGACCCTACTCTTGTGGGATTTAATTGGGTTGTTGTTGTTGTTGATCCTATATTGGAAAAGTCATTATATTTTAGTTCTATTTAAGTAAATTTCTCAAAATTAAAATGAGAGAAGTATTTGTATGGTTCAAATATTTCCAATGCCAAAGCCGGTACAATATCGTTGTGGTTGCAATCCTTTTCCTCAAGAGTGATACTACAACTACAACTCATACGAGAAATGGATGGCATCACCAAAGAATCAAGGAAGGAAATGATAAGCACGATAATTGTTTTTGATCAACATCAGTCTTTGATTGCCAGGCCACAGTCGAAGAGGCTTCACGTGCGATGGTCGCGGGTGGAGCCGTCAAAATTTACTTGATTGGGATGACTATAATAAACAACTTCATAGCCATACGGTCTGCACCCGTCAATTCAAAACTGACAACTCCAATTTAGTATCCCTTCCCTTCCATTAAAAAAAGATGAGCTCATAACCATTTAGATCAAATTTAATTAGATCAAATTCAATTATATCAGAAGCAACTTTAAAAATATAACTACAATTTAAGCAGATTAAATTTAATTATATCAGATCAGATATAACAGATGATGGTGTAAATTATCAACCGGTATACCGTTTTTAGCCCGGCTAAAACGATAAACTAGTCTAAAAATACACCAAAATATAAACACGGGGATTTTAACGTGGAAACCCAAATCGGGAGAAAACCACGGGCCTTTTTTGGCGGTACCTTGCCAACGGGGGATTTTTATTAATATCGGGAGTGTGTACACGGTACATAATTTAGGCTAGGAAGCCATTAATGGAGCTTTTGAGCTCTTGAAGAAGAAAAATATATACTCTAAGAACTTTGTAGACAGAGAGAGAAAAGTGGGCAGGGAGGAGTGAAAAAATGGCCTCCCTCAACAATTAGGGCAACCCTCCCTTTTATAGGAGAGGGTGAGAGCATCTACGGAGGAATATTCTCTTATTCCTCTATTTTATTAAACAGGTCCGGTTTAACTGTTCTTCGTAAATAATTGGGAAATGTGGGCCGAGCCACGTATTATTTCCCATCAAGTAGTCCTCCACTTTTTTGAGTTGTGAGAATCATCAACTTAAAAAAGTAAACAAGTCCTCCGAGTGTGATCTTCAGTCTTCGTACCTTGAATTCTTGACCGGTAGATATTATTGCTAGTCCTCCGAGTCTTCATTAATTCTCTAATTTCTTGCATCATAAGTTTTTTCCTGCAAAAAATAATTTGTACAACATTTTTTTTTGACCGACCGGCCTATGCCGTGCTCAAAAAATTATTATTTTTACCGAGGAGCTCGGTGTTAGGGTGGTTAAAATTCGCGAGAATAATTATCGTAACAAGAGCGATGTCAGTTCGATAAAGCAACGATGCTTCGAGTAGTTATACGACACCGGAGTTAGTACGATGAAGCGGCGGTGCTTCAAGTAGTTATTTCGTCGAGACCGATGTCAGTACGGATTAAGTAAACGATACATAGCGAAATTAGTATATCGAAGTAATCGATGTTACTTAATACGAATTAAGTATGTTGCAGCAACTTTGTCGAAGATCGATGCTAGCCCGGCTAACTGATACAAATATCTTCATGTCATGCAGAGACCACTTTCGGAGTGCTTTGTTCAAAAGGCTTGAAGAATCGGGCGTCCCCGATAAGGGCTCAGCTGAGCCACCGGTGTACCCAATTCGATTGGGGTCACACTTACGAGAAAATATGTGCAAGACCGGTGTGTATATCATTCTTGGCCTGTCTCGCGCACAAGAATGATATTTACCAGCGTGCCAGGCCGGGCCTGTGTCACATATTTTAATATTTTTTATTATACTGAGCAAGACCGGTGTAGTAACCAGCGTGCCAGGCCGGGCCTGTGTCTCAGTCTTCCTCTTTTTTTTAATACTGAGCAAGACCGGTGTTGTAACCAGCGTACCAAGCTCGGCTTGTGTCTCAGTCTTCCCTCCGAANCTTACGAGAAAATATGTGCAAGACCGGTGTGTATATCATTCTTGGCCTGTCTCGCGCACAAGAATGATATTTACCAGCGTGCCAGGCCGGGCCTGTGTCACATATTTTAATATTTTTTATTATACTGAGCAAGACCGGTGTAGTAACCAGCGTGCCAGGCCGGGCCTGTGTCTCAGTCTTCCTCTTTTTTTTAATACTGAGCAAGACCGGTGTTGTAACCAGCGTACCAAGCTCGGCTTGTGTCTCAGTCTTCCCTCCGAATTCTTCCAAATGGTATGTACAAATACCCAAATTATTGCTCCATAATGCTAACTCATTCCACCAATTGTTGGTGGTAGACCCGAATGAGGAATAAGTGGGGAACTTATTTCCTCCTCGGCAATATTCAATGCACCTCTCCCACCAAAATGATTAATTGATGGGCCGTGAGAATAAGTGAGTCTTCTTGGATTCTTCCTTTCGCCATGGAGTGACTTGTTTTTGTATATTGTAGAGGTATATATAATGCTTGGAAGAATCATAAATGGTCCCGCTTCCTATTCTTGCTGCCCATGACTCGTGAGCCTCATCACATGGACACATTTCCTTGATTTTTCCAATTGGAGTATTTCAAAATGTAGTGGGAATGGACCCCACCATCCACGACTTTGCTCATTGTATTCTTCACGTGGTGCCTATCTTTACTCTGTCAAATCTTCAATTCTTCATTGGCATGTACCTCTTTGGCTCCGCATGTGTTGGCAGTGAAAGTGTAGATGTGATGGTGGCACATCCCCGTAGTGGCATCAATGTTGTAATTCATTACCATCACTTTAATTGGAATTTGGCCGCCGCCACTTTGCGACGGAATTCGGTTGCTTGTGATGGAGGGCTTCAGCGGCGTAATTGAGATGATCACTCATCGGCACATGGCGGCTGGTTTTATAGGGGCAGTGGTAGATTTCAATTTCAATGATGGTCACAGGTTGCTTAGTCCAGAGCTTTAGCCGCGGTAACCACTCCGGCAATTTGGTGGTCACTCATTAGCTCCCTTGCAGTTTTTAGCCGTATGGAAACTCTAACCATATGTGGGAGCAATGGTGAGTTAGTCCGGAGATGACCGACAACTTTTCCATCCAGTCTCGGCAACAACGGCTGCGAAATTGGGCAGCGGCGAGAACATCTCAGCACAAAGAGTGGACGACATAGATGACGAGGGCGTCGAAGGCGCCGCGGTAGTAAGCGGAGATGACGGCACGGAATCGTTCCGGGTCGGCGGTGCCTTAGATTTGGCAGATGCAGTTGAGGAAGCAGTTGAAGAGGCAGCAGCAAGGGTTGCAGCCACTCCGACGTCGCGACGTCCGTGGCCGTAGAAGGATTTCCTTGATTTCAACTTGGCCGGCCGTGAACAGAGATGGAATCTCGGCCAATTTCCTCCTCATTATTGTAGATTTGCAGTCCTAGATCTGGAAAGAGTTCGGCCCAGACAAATGTAAAACCAATTGGAAAGGTAATGGTCGCTTAGCTCCGGCGGTGGTGAGAGACTAGGTCAGCTTCAGCGATATACGCCAGTTGTGAGAGAGAAGGTTGCGGCGACTTCTGGGAGATCTTATGGGGGCAGCAACTCTAGCCCACTCCAACCGCATTGGCTTCAATTGCTAAGCTTTTCTTTCTTTAGCCTCTTTTTTTTTGCAAACCTCCAGAACCAAAACACATGTTCAGTGTTCCAAAAGCAATAATTTAGCAATTTCTCCCTCTTTCTAGCTTCTTTCTTTTTGACACTCCAAAGCCTGTCTCCCTTTACTTTTTTTTGCAACTATGACTCTTTAGGTTGTGCAAGATGGCCGAACAAAAATGGAGCTTTTTGTTCGGGTCCCACGGTCGGCGCCAAAATGATGGTGTAAATTATCGACCGGTATACCGTTTTTAGCCCGACTAAAACGATAAACTAGTCTAAAAATACACCAAAATATAAACACGGGGATTTTGACGTGGAAACCCAAATCGGGAGAAAACCACGGGCTTTTTTTGGCGGTACCTTGCCAACGGGGGATTTTTATTAATATCGGGGGTGTGTACACGGTGCATAATTTAGGCTAGGAAGCCATTAATGGAGCTTTTGAGCTCTTGAAGAAGAAGAAAAATATATACTCTAAGAACTTTGTAGACAGAGAGAGAAAAGTGGGCAGGGAGAGGAGTGAAAAAATGGCCTCCCTCAACAATTAGGGCAACCCTCCCTTTTATAGGAGAGGGTGAGAGCATCTACGGAGGAATATTCTCTTATTCCTCTATTTTATTAAACAGGCCCGGTTTAACTGTTCTTCGTAAATAATTGGGAAATGTGGGCCGAGCCACGTATTATTTCCCATCAACAGATAATATCATATCTTTAAAAAGTTGAATTACATTTGGCGAACGGAACGTAGCTCTATTCAGACACACATGGGAGGAGACAAATTGAGTTTTTATGAGAAATTAACTAGCAAAAAGGAGAAATCTGCACCTGGTACTTGAAGAAGTTGTATAGGGTAAATTTCACCAATGGTACCTGAACTTTAGCTGGAATTTCGAAGTGGTACCTGAATTTCAAATCCTTTCACAAAAATCCCTGAACTTACACAATCCTTTCACTAATGAGCCATTAGCCCGTTTCTAGGTTAACTTCCGGTCATTAGGGCCAAATTCGAATTTTATATATTTTAAAATTTTCAATTTGACCTCATTTCTTCTTTTCTTTTCTTCCAGGCCCCGCCGCCGCCGCCCGCCGGTCAAAGTCGCCGGAAAATGAATTTTTTCCGATTCCGGCTGGACTAATGTCATTCTCTTCGTCTTGAGACGAGGATCAATAATATCCAAACCATTTTGTCTAATTTGTCCTGTAACTTCTCGAATCTGAATTTTTCTACTCGAAAAAACCCTAAAATTCGAAATTGGGTCCAAAATTGGGAGTTTTGCAAATCGTCATCAAATCTTGCAATTGAAGGGTCCTTGGAGGTCGCCCGGATGCCACGACCACATTGGAGTTGGTTCCCGCCGTCAATTTTGCCGGAGTTGGCCAGAAAACGCTCCGACCCGCCGGAAAACGCTTAGACAAAATGGTTTGGATATTATTGATCCTCGTCTCAAGACGAAGAGAATGACATTGGTCCCGCCGGAATCGGAAAAAATTCATTTTCCGGCGACTTTGACCGGCGGGCGGCGGCGGCGGGGCCTGGAAGAAAAGAAAAGAAGAAATGAGGTCAAATTTAAAATTTTAAAATATATAAAATTCGAATTTGGCCCTAATGACCGGAAGTTAACCTAGAAACGGGCTAATGGCTCATTAGTGAAAGGATTGTGTAAGTTCAGGGATTTTTGTGAAAAGATTTGAAGTTCAAGTACCACTTCGAAATTCCAGCTAAAGTTCAGGTACCATTGGTGAAATTTATCCAAGTTCTATACTTAGTATAATTACCTTTCAACACATTTGCCAAAGTGTGGTATATGCCCCCAACCCTTTCTGATCAATAAAACCATTAGAGCATCTAGTATGATAGCATCCATCATTCGATGTTCAAATATGGATCCTACCTTAAAAATTTACTCCCTTCATTTCAAAATATTTGCTGCATTATGTAAAATGAAGTGAAAGTTCAACCTTTTTAAATTATTTTATTTAAATAGTGAAAGGGGTAAAATATATTTATTTAAAAACAATAATGAGAGTTTTACACAGAAAGATGTAAATAACATTATTATTTTATCACATTAGTAACAAAATAAGCAAAAAAAAGGGCACATAATTCCACCCTATGAATAATAACTGAAATTTTTAATGAGACCAAAATATTTAAAACCTATACCAAAAGTTTTACAAACTAGGAAAAAAATTTAAAACCTATAACTGAAATTTTTAATGAGACTGGGGGGGAGTACATTTTTAGGTTTGGTGTTCCTTCAATATGATGGAGAAAATAACCAAATGACATAGGAATGAATGTGTACTTGGTGGGAGTGAAATTACTGAACGTATAATACTTGCAAATTTTCTCCCAAGAGTAAGAGAGAATAGTGATATTTGAATTACAACAATGTCATTTACTTCTATTTACATCAACAAGAATATGCTGACCAGTAGAACATATTTCCAATTCGCACAGCAAGACTAAGCCTTCATTAGAAAACTTGTCGATCGAAATATGTTGTACCGAGTACAATTTAACCAACTAAGTACAAAAAGATGATATGATATGGCTTTATAAAACACTTTGTCTTCTTACCTTTGTAATAAATCAGTTGCAGTTTTGACAATCATCTTCACCTGAACATGAGACTGGTGCTTGGGAAATCACTAGGAGTGGTGACAGCTGGATCAATTGATGATTTAAGAAAACCCACAAGTCAGGGAAACAGGAAAAATGTTCCTTGGAGTATATATTACTTCTATCCCAAACTTTTAAGCCCCGTTTAAAATTTCAACAAGTTAAAGAAACGTGAAAATTGTGGTTTAGATTTACGTGAGAGAAACGTCATGGACCACTCAACTTTTCCTAAAAAGGAAATGTTAACTTATCTTTGGGATGGCTTGGAAAGAAAACAACAACCAAGTTGAATCCCACAAGAGTAGGGTCTGGGAGGGTGTGTGTACGCAGACTTTCCCCCTTCTCAAAAGTAGAGAGACTGTTTCCAAAGAGACCCCCAGCTCAACGTCGAAAGTTGCATTGATAGACTAACTGCTACTTCATTAATTAAAGAAGTGCAGACAGTTTAGAGATCCATTTTGCTTTATTCCATCACCCCAAAGCCAAAAAATAGTGAATTTTTGGCTCCATCGGAGATGATGGAAAACGGCTTGGAAAGAAAATGGGACTTCATTTAGGGACGAAGTGAGTAAGTACTACCAGTCATACGCTAGAAAAACAGACCTTTGTTCCAGCTACTATGGTGCCCGTTATGGGATGGACTGCGCATGCGGTAATACCTTCGCTAAACGAGATAAATTGATTTTGTCTTTGTTGATGTTGACTTGTACCTTCTATCTCCTCCCTACACCAGATTTGTTCATCACAAAGCCTTAGTCCAATTTCAGATGAAAATTTCTTTTCCAAACACAAGAAGGGAATATGGAATACAAAACAAAGTAAATAGACCTTTGGCAGTATTTCTGCCAATTATGAAGTGCAATAAAATTAGAAGTTCATACTCAAAATCTACGTGGCAAGGGGAGCTACGGTCTGGATAGAAATCTAAAAGATGAAGTCCGTCATCTGATCCAACTGCATAGATCTGCATCCAGAAGTACCAAACAAAATTAGCTCACTCATTTTTACTTCATTCAAAGCACAAATTTAAATCACAATTTAAGCAAATTGTAGCAGAGTAGTCCATACTTAAACTGATAGAGCAACTTGAAATCATACACAAACTAGACAAACAACTTCAACCAACTAAACTTCCATCTTTATAAATTGAAAATCCTCCTAAGTGGAGTAAACGGAAATGTATTACTCCCTCCATCCCATAAAAGAGCCATATTTCTCCAATGTAATACAGACTCTCGAAGTACCCACAATTTCATGGATATCACTATGGCCAAGAGATTGGGGTGTTGTTTGGAACCTATGAACAACTTAAGGGTGGGAGTTGCTGATGGGTACAATCTGCAGTGGACTCAGGTTTGTAGAAGATTCAAATGGAGGCTACAAAATAGAGATTTCATCTCTGACATGTACATTATGCCCATCGGAGGATGTGACATTGTTTTGGGTATCCAATGGTTGAGCACTTTGGGCACTGTCAAATGGAACAGCTTGCCAAAGATATAGACAACATAACACAAGTTTGTCTGATACACCTACAAGAAAGCTGTGATAGTCCAAAAGATTGGGACAGTCAGAAATTGAGATTACCCAAGGCAGCTGAAGAACATATACCCGTACCCGTTGGTCAAGTACTGGAAGAGTATGCAAAGGTCTTTCAGGCCCCAACAACCCTGCCACCTACAAGAGGGACTTTTGATCACAGCATCCTCTTAAAGGAGGGAAGTCAGCCAGTAAATATCAGGCCATATAGAAATCCCACTAAGCAAAAAGATGTTATTGAAAAGTTGATTAAAGGGGGATTATCAGATTAAGCAATAGCCCATTTGCTTCTCTTGTTGTGCTAGTAAGCAAGAAGGATGGATTTTGGAGATTATGTGTGGACCTATAGAGAACTTAATAAAGCGTCTATCAAGGACAAGTTTCCCATTCCCCTGGTAGAAGAGCTTATTGATGAACTTGCTACAGTAGTTATATTTAGTAAATTGGATTTGAGGGCTGGCTATCATCAAATCAGAATGAATGCTAATGATGTGTTTAAAACAGCATCCAAAACTCATCTAGGACATTGAGTTTCTAGTTGATGGAATTCCCACATTGGAATCGAAGAAGGTCCGGTCCGGGTTCAATGGTTCCTGGTTGTTTGGACGTTGGTTTAGCCAAATGAGCTACCCGTCCGTGTTTTGGGTTGAGTGGGGTATAAGAGAATGAGAAGCCACCGCCCGTTGAGTGGGCTAGCTAAAAGAGATTGAGATGTTAGACCCGTTTGTCCAAGTGATAACTAGAGCAGGCTAGTTACTGAGGGGGAGTGATGGAATTCCCACATCGGAAAAATAAAGAAGAATATCACTAGCATATATAGAAAGGTGAAGCCCTACCTATCACCTGAAAGCAGTGTTTAGATTACTCCAGCAGCATCCCTTAGTAGCCAAATAGAGAAAATGTGTCTTTGTTGTGCCAAAAATAGAATACTTAGGGCATTTTATTTCTGGACAAGGAGTGGAAACAGATCCAAGGAGTGGCCACTCCCCAAGAATCTTAAGGCATTAAGAAGTTTCTTAGGTTTAATAGGCTATTACAGAAGGTTCATCAAGGGATATGCATCCATTACTATGCCTCTCACTAACCTGCTCAAGAAGGGGACTTTCCAGTGGTCATTTAATGCTACTACTGCCTTTAATCAACTCAAACAAGCCCTGTAACTAATAGTGGCCCTGTAACTCAAAAAACCTAAAAAAACTTTAAAAATTTTGTTTTAAATTCTTGTTGTTATAAATTATTACTATTATTATTATAATTATTATAATTATTATAATTATTATAATTATTATTATTATTATTATTATTATTATTATTATTATCGTCATCATCATCATAATCATCATTGTCACGTTATCTTAATGAATGTCTTTAAGAAACAAAAAAGTATTGTTATTTTTCAAATACCAAAAATTATTTTTGCAAAAAAATAATTATAATATAAAGTTAGCATAAATATAAAAATATTAAATTCTAAAAAGTTTTTGTGGTTACGTTGCACCTCAATTTATTTATGCAGTATTTATTTTAAATAATATATTTGTAATTATACTTTATATATTACCCCGTAGTATATGATTTTGTTTTAAATATCAGACATGTCACATAATGTGATCAAACCTATTTTTTCTTTCATGATTAACATTTTATTTTCATTGAAATCCTATTTTTGGAATAAAGACATAGAACATTCTTTTTACATTTTTTATGTTTTACTCCTATTTTAGTCTTTTTCTCTAAACTATTTTGACTTTCACTTTTTTTGTAATAATTAGAAATATGAGAAAATTTTAAGTAATAAAAGGAAAGGTGAGAGGTCTTATATAAAGTTAGATTAACAAAACATTCTATCACTATATTATCCATACTTTTTTAATATAGTTTAACATATTGATGTTTTCTTGTTTTATCATGTAGATTAATATACAAAAAAATTGTCTTATTCATATTAAAAAGTTGAAGAAAAAAAAACAATGACTGTGGATCGTAAAAATAGTGAGATGAAAAAAAAAATTTATAAACTATAGTTATGAACATAACAATTGTAATAATAATAATAATAATCACATTAAAATATAACGTTTTTAGATTAATTGGTTGGGGAGTAGAAAAAGTTTGAAGAAAATGAGAATAGTTGAAAGAAACTGGAAGAAACTGGAAGGAACTGGAAGAAAATGAAAGAAACTAGAAGTTAAGAGTTCAAGTCCTAAAGAACAGGCTCTAAATTGATAGGATTGCATCCCTGAGATTGATGATGAACCGCTCTCTTGCCCATGGACAAGCTTATCTATGGCGGAAATGGTGTGCACCATATATGCATCATTGGCATTTGCCCCCCTGATAAGTGTATTTTTCACCTATTTTATGAGCTTAGTTGCATAACATTTTGTTCCCCAAAAGAGTACTTTAAGTAATACAAATGCTATTTTGTGATTTAGGTGTTGAATACAAAGCATTATGGAAAGGAAGAAAATGGAAGAGTTTAAAGAAGACTAAAGCACAAATTCAAGAAATACAAGAGCGAGAAGAAAATGAATTAGAAGAAGAGTTCATGGAAAGATAATTTACACTCTCGTGGTGTTTTTAAGGATAAAAATACCTATGAAGCCATCAAAATACTCTCCCCCAAAATGATAGAAGAGCCATGCAAGTTTGGAGCACAAGATTGTAACAAAGCACATTTTGAACAGTCTTTAGTATTTTGACCATGTCTCGGGCTAGGAAAGTCACATTTTGCTCCATTACCCCTTTCTGGAAAGCTCTTTTCAAGGCCTACAACTAGGAGGCAATTACAGCAGCTGTAAAGAAATCAGGCGCAAGGAAAAGTTGACCTGTGCCGGTTTACGGACCTGGAGACACAAGAAAACTTTCTGTGATCTAATCCGGCGAAGGGAAACTTTGCCCCACGACGGTTTCGCTATTTTCTGCCCTTTAAAGACCCATTTTCAACCGTTAGAAAAGAAACAACAGCAAAGAGACTGCTCTATCCTCCCGTTGCTCAACGTTCATCAGACCCAATCCTATAAATTTGGGCCTAAATTCTGCTTCAAAACATCAATTACTTCATCAATTGATCAATCCTTAGCTTCTCTCACCCCCAATTTGTGTATTTCTCCATCTCTGTCCTTGTTCAAGCTTTGGAAGGAAGAGCTAGGGTTTGACACATCCAACTCCGAATTTTGGCTTGCCCCGTGTACTCTCTATCCTTATTTCTGCGTAATGCATTCCATGTTGTTGTTCTTGCTTGTGTTCATCATAATTTGTGGCTAAACCCCTCACCTGAGGTTAGGGGCAATGCCGTTATAATTGCCGTTAGACTTTGATTCCTAGTTTAAGAATATTGCATGTTCTATTTGTTTGTTTCATTGGGCAAAGGTCAAATTTACGTATCTACATTGTGGGAGTTTTGTGATGGACCTAGCAGTGAAGCAAACTCCAAGCTCTAGTAGAACAAATGTTTAGCCGAGTTTGGGTAGAAATAAACCCAACTCCTAGACGGTGCCTTTTTCTTGGAGTCTTGAGCGTCAATGGGGTTGGCTCTGTATGTATGCAAGACGTAACGGTACTTGCACGTAGATGCTAATTACCCTCTCGATTCCTTAACCGGAGCATGAGGTACCATGTCGACTCCGCACTTGCAATATGTTGAATAAAGTTTCTTAGTCCTAATGGTAGTTATAATTGGCTAGTCACGAACTCCTCGGTACTCCTCTCTTCTTTGTTCATCTCTGCATTTTTTCCACTTCTCACACACTCACATGAAAACACAATTTAATTGACAAGTCCCTGTGGATTCGACCCGGTCTTATAGGTTATTATTACTACATCAGCCTTTCGTACGCTTGCAAAATACACCCGATCACCCCCAATCGCCACAACTCTGGATGTGGCAACCGGTCTATCCATGGCAACGCCATTTCGGTGGCATGGCCATTTCTGCTCCAATTGTTCATATTTTCTCAGTCACCTCTCACGCTCTCCAATATCTCTTCTCAGTCTCATCTTTATTTTCTGATGTGGGAACTCCAACACTCCCCCTCGAGGGCTAACTAGCTTGACCTAGTTAGCACTTGAACAAACGGATATAGCATCTCATTCTCTTATAGCTAGCCAGACAACGGGCGGTGGCATCTCAATCTCTTTTTAGCCAACTCAACCCAAGCCACGGACAGGTAGATCTTTTTTTGCTAAACCCACGTCCAACAACAGGAAGAACCGAACCCGGACCGGACCTGCTCCGATACCATGTTAGAATTTAGGATGGGGTAAAGACAACTAGATTGGGCAATAAGATACTTGAGTAGAACCATATCAAAAGATTGAATCCAATTGATTAGTTAGTTCAACTTAAGAGCTTATATACCGATTATTTTACTCTTGGACTTCTGATGTGGGATGACACTCTAACACTCCCCTCAAGTGGGCAACCGGGCCATTTTCAATCTAACCGGTTGACCACATGCAAATGGACTCTCTTCCCCTTGATTTTTTTTAGCGCCAACACATAAAAGGACCACGAGCCGCTGGGTATGGACTTCCAGACGAGCAATCGGGTTAAACAAGGCTAAAGACTAACGGGCCGCTAGGAATGAACGTCTAGACGGGCACCCTGACAAATGAGGTGGGCCAAAACCTGCTCTGATACCATGATAGAATTTATGATGGGGTAAAGATAACAACGGGTGGAGTGTCTGGTAAAATTAACCACTGGCATATAAAGTCCGGATCCACTATTCTAACCCAAAAGCTTAAGCTAATAGGTAGAATTTCACCCTTCTATATATGCTAGTGGTATTCATCTTTATTTTCCGATGTGGAAACTCCAACAAGTTGCAAGCAACAAGACCCCAAGCTTGAAAAATACAAAACGACAAGAGCAAGAACTACTACTCAGATCTAAACGACTATCCAACTACCCTAGTCCTAGATATTCAACAAACACCCCTAGCTCTTTACTTGTCTGCAATCTGGTACTAACCCAGCCTACTAAGTCATGATAAATGGACTATGCAAGTTGGGGGTGTTATATGGAAGCTCTACACTCTGATTGCACATAGGAAGTGGTTTCTCTTCCACTTGGTAAGTCTATAGTTGGTATTCGATGCATATCTATTGTTGGTTTTTGGTGCATATATACTGTGAAGGGTGAACAAGGCTGATCCTGATGGCAAGGTTGACCGTCTTTAAACACATCGAGGTGAAACTTAAAATTATGGTCTTGAATATACTGACCCTTTTTCTCTAATAGCTAAATGATATATATCAAAGATAAAGAGTTGAAAAAGTCTACACAGGGTAACTAAGGTAAACTAAGGCTGCTAAAACACATATTTAGGGATATAAGGTATGCTGACTTATATGAATACTTCCTTTGCCCCAATAAAACATTATGAGTCTGTCCTAGTACGCTTATTATGAATGGGGAACTATTGTTGTTTCACTTTATTAATCTAGACGAGAAAAAATAATATGAAATAATGAACCACAAAAATCCTTCCTTTGAAGGAAACAAGAACCCTCTTTTAGGATGGACAAAAAGAAGAACATGAACCCTTTTTGGGATGGAGGAAGTATGTTTTAACCATATGATTAGCTTAACATAAATGCAAACACAATAAGCATCACCAATAGAAATAACTTCATATCTTATCCAAAGACCAAATAGATAATGTATATTCCCTCCATCCCAAAATAAAGAATGAACTATGTGGTCCACAATAATACTCTCTTCTCTGCATCAATATCAATTATCAACCAAACAATTCACTTTTTCTTAAACTCTGTGAAGAAGCAAGTGGGAACTTTAATTTGAGACGGGAGTACTAGACATTATACTTCTTTTAAGTCATTTTTAACTGAATTCAGAAAAAAATATGAACATAGGTCAAAGGGATAAAACCATCAGGATATGACAAATCAAAGGCTATAACATCTTACTGAATAAGAAGGCAGCCACGAAGGTTTCCGTAGGTGACAGATGTTTCCCATATCATCAATGTTATCTCTTGCATATCGAATTAAAAGAAATGTGTAAAAAGCAAGACAACTGTTTTCAACTCAGATCAAATTCAAGAATGAAAAATCTCTTATACCGTAACCAAGCTGGAGGGGGGCAATGCACATGTGTTACATTCATGCAGTTCATATCAAAAACACCAGACCTATACACAAGAAATTACAAGAGAAGCCTAGTTCATTACATTAGCAAACAACAGTAAATATCAATTGAGTATTATTAGTACTCCGTAATTATTAAGGGTCAAAATGAATGTCCACATTACAGCTACAGAAGCCATCAGCTCGTGTTCTTCCAGAGTAATTATCTAATGTTCAGGTATGAAGGAAACTTTAAATCACATTATGCATAATATTTCTCCAGCTTATAAATATGTGAGGATGCCACAATCACTTAGTTTGCAGATTAGCTACATCATATGTTCTGATTTTTGAGCCATTCTATCTCCTATGAAAACTAATGGACTCAAAAGATCAGTGATCCAACTATCCGTATCAACTGATATTGTATCTTTGTATATTATTTTGAATAACTACAATACTTGTTGGAGATTTCCATTTTCTAGTACATATAAGACTTTTCACAATTTCACACACAAAGATTCAACTAATGGAGTATCAGTAGAGAAGTTCCAAGCAGATTTACTTAGTTGAAAGGTTTTTCACAACAGACTTGGTGTTGATGTAATGATGCCAAAGGGTCAGCATATCAATAACCAGACTACATCACATTTGTATGTTCTGCTACATAAATTAAGTATATGACTACAAATTGGAGGCCACAAGATAAATCTAAGTCTTCATATATTTGTTTATCCAAAACAAAGATCAATTAATAGATAATCAGTATTGAAAGGAGATGCTCTAAAGGAGAGGATAATATCCTTAGACAACAATTTATATGCTTGTCTGTATTCACCTATGTACAGCCCATTCTTCCTTTCCTTTTGGTAGGATTATCCTTCAAATGTCTATGCCCTATGGTCTATCCCCGTGAACAGCTAGCTTCGTGGACTTCTGAATTGTAACCACTCCAACATGAGAGAACTTGAAAATAGTTGTTTCCTAACTCCCAGACGCCAACCTATTAGCCCACAGCTTCAACCTTTTCAGATTAATAACAATTTGGGGGGGTGGCGATGAGATTAAATAGTGCAATGAAAGTCCTAGTGGTCTTCTCATACAATTTGCATACATGATTCAATGACTCGTACCAATAAGGTGATAAGTAGATATACTACATGTATTCACTAAGATTTCATAACTGAGATTCAAATAACATGGTTGTTAAGTCCATAACTGAATTTGCATGTTTGTTTCCAAACATACCAAGCATCATCAAGATGAAATGCCAATTGATAGTGGCATGATGGATTAATGTCAATGGAGTGTATTTCCTTCAAGCCAATATTAGATTGAGCCTGCAATTTGGTGTAAGACGAAAGGCATTATTAGGAACAGCTATACATATATAAAAGCAAAAGACGTTTTTCCCTTTTGAAATAATAGAGTTGCATATATGCACCCAGAAGGTGCTTAGAAAATTTACTTAACAAAATATACAACAACAACCCAATTGGATCCCAGGAAAACTTTACAACATATGTATACTCTTATTTCAAGTGTGACTGATAATCAGAGGTTTTCCTCATAATACATAATTACATATAACAAAATGACTATATATATACATAAGAAGGGTGCTAATATAAGGAAACTATATCTCCCATATTAATGCCTAAATCACCCATATTAATGGCCAAATCAGATCCTGCCATATTCTCAGGACTTAACTAAAATACTAATATTATTACTAATAACACTCCCCCTCAAGTTGGAGCATATATATTTATCATGCCCAACTTGTTACATAAATACATAAGCCTGGTGCCATTTAGCGCTTTAGTAAGGAGATCTGCTAATTGATCTCCTGTCTTCACAAATCCAGTAGAAATCAATCCCTTCTGTATTTTCTCCCGAACAAAGTGACAATCTACTTCAATATGTTTCGTTCTTTCGTGAAAAACTGGTTTGGATGCAATATGAAGAGCAGCTTGGTTATCACACCATAGTTTCGCAGGGATGGGAGCTTTGAAACCAGTTTCATTGAGGAGGTGATATATCCATATTATTTCACACGCAGCTTGTGCCATGGCTCTATATTCAGAGTCAGCACTAGAACGAGAGACAACGTTCTGCTTCTTGC